TTGAGTTATGGTGTTGAAGGTGAATACTGAAAGTACCATGAACTACCAAAAGCACAAACAGATCTGGGTTGGAAGAAGTACAGCCAGAGTACTCCTTGGAAGTCAGGATGGCCAGACTTCATCTCTCATTCTTCAGACATTTTATCAGGAGGGTCCAGTCACTGAAGAAGAATATCAGGTTTGATAAAAAGTGGAGGGTCAAAGAAAAAGATGAAGACCCCCAACAAGATGGATTGGCACAGTGGCAGCAGCAATGGACTCATGTGTAGCAACAATTATGATGTTGGTCTAGGACGGGGCAGTGTTTCGTTCTATTGTGCATAAGGTTGCTATGGGCTGGTACCAACTCAATGGCACCTAACAAACAAATAACAACAATCTCAATACCTAGATATCTCTGCATTTTGGGTGTAATTCTTTAATTCTCTTTCCTTAGTATAGGTATATTTTACAAAATTGAGATCCTAGCAACAAATTTGGTTTTCTATAGTGCTTTAAAAATTAACATTTAATAATAAACCAAAATTTTAAACATAGAGCTAGAAAATTACTAATTTTCCCAGACATGAATCAAAATCTTCTTTTTTTTTGGTTGTTTGTTTTTGCATGTTTTGCTTAGCCCAACACAGAAGCTGAAAAATTCTGTGAACATGATATTACCTGCATAAAACAAATTGGAAGAACAATTTTTTGTTTATATCAAATATAAGTTTTATATCAAATATCATTGGTGTGCTTTAGAGAAAAGAATAAGATTCAATAGTTACATACAACACTGGCTAATTTTTTTCATTACCAAAGGAGTTCTTAAAATAATTGTGAACCATATGATATTTTTCATAGGTATATAATCTGCTTCCATATATGGAACTCCATGGTTATTTTTATCAAAATCTCAACCTTGAAGATGAGAAGCACAGCCCATGCATTCCTCAGAAGGATATGTTTTATAATGGTTTGTATTATGTGCCTGCAAGCAATTATGGGGATGGAGACATCTATAATATTCTCAGGGTAAGTACACTAAGATTTTAGAAAAATTCTCAAATTTAATTTTAGTGACACACAAAGCTTACCTGTTTTTACTAATTACATCTTATTCTTTGAGTTTATGGCCTATAGTCTGCTAGTAGATCGAGTACTCAGAAATTAAGGAGATTTTTTTTCCTCATTTCCATTTTTGTTGGAAATAAATTATATAGATGAAATTATTAGATATGTTCAAAGTAATGAGATAGTCTTTAATTTACTATTATGTACCTTATGAAGAAATAAATCAAGAGGCCAAAATATAGTTCTGGGCTCCATATATACTTAGACAATCAGTTGTATATGTTGAGGCCTCCATGAAAGGATCTTTATATAATTATAAGCACAGCCTTAAAAGAAAAGGGACATTGAATCAGACAGACTGTAGTCCAATTCCCATTTCTCCAATTTATTAGATGAGTATGTATGCATGTGCATATGTATGTAAATATGTATATTAGATGTTATTTAGGTTATGGTAGTGCCTATATCTGTTTATCTAGAAAATGATCGTTTTTCTCTCCCTTAGGATTAAATTGGGCATTATATAAAATACTTAGCAAAATGCTAACACATAGTAAGTGCTAGATACATTGTAGCAATGATCATTTTTCTCTAAATTAGGGATTTTTTCCCATAAATCAAATAAAGGTCACTCAACTTCTCAGATCCCAGAATTTTTGCTAGCAGAGATGATGTGTATACTTATGATCTATTTATAGCTGTTAAATCTTTTTCAGCTCTCATGTAAAAAGACAGTGCAACTTTTGATTTATTTATTTATTGGTTTCTTTGAAGGATATGGGTCTGAAAGTCTTCACCAATCTCCACTACCGGAAACCAGAAATATGTCCAGTGGAGACAAGGCTGCCATGGATCCATAACTCATATCTTGGTTTAGGAGGAGGAGGATATGGCTATATGCCTAGTGGCATTGCATGTGGGTAATCTAGATTTCTGTAACTGGGAAAATAGCTAAAAGAATTCATGTAATTGGATGTATTTGGTCTAAAACTATACAATATTAGGATTTTATTTGTGGTTTGTGTCACGTTATTGGCTACATCAAGACATCCTACAATTGAATAAAGCAACATCCTGCAATTAAATAGGACAGCATAAGGTATGATTAAAATGGTTTTGATTAGAAGGAAAAATTAATTTGAGATATGAGAGACAGTTTATTTTTATTGACAGAATGTAATAGGAGAAGTGTGTAGGAGCAAACAATGTGTGGTAATATAGGAGAACTGACCATCGATGTAAGTGAATCTTATGCAAGATCATAAGGAGCTCTTATTGGGCCCTTATGCCCTTATTACTGTAGGTTGGAATCAACTCAACAGTACTTAGCAACAATTTACCCTTATTATATACAAGGGGGCTTTAATAATTCAAGAAAATTTTGTTATGTTTTAATTCCACTTTTCATGAATGTTTTAAAGCCCCTTCATATAAGCCATAATACACAGATTCCAAGACAAAGATTATTGTGATGCCTAGATAACCAGACATCTGGCATCATAGAAGCATGTTCCAATACTAATCCATGCCATGCTGAAAGGCTTATAATTATAAAACTGAGCTAGTCATAGATGAATAAAGTAAGTAGGCAGATTTCCAATACAGCCTGCCAGGGAAGCAAATTGAACCAAGGTCATCAGAGCAAAACTGAAATCAAAGCTGGATTTCAAATGCATCTGAGCATGCTTGAATAACATTCTTTAAATCCCTTTGGTCTCACATTGATATTAGTCTGGTGATTGAAGTAGGACTGTTCTTGGAGATGGGTGTCAGAAGTTCCACTTAAGAGAAAAGAAAGGCCCAACAACTTTGTGCAAGGATACATTCAAGAGGTCCTATAAAATCCAAAACCTCTTTGAAGTTTTAGTGAAGAGGTTAAAGCTACCTGTACATACGAAGGTGAGTCAAAAATTATCCACACTCTGGCTGTAGAATTTATTTTAATCAACTTTTGGAAAAGGCAAATATATCATGTTTTGACATCATCTCCTTGCTTTTCAATACATTTTTTCCATCTGTCAACAAGCTTTTGTATTCTCTTATTAAAAACAAGTTTTAGGCTGAGTGTGAGCCATGAAGGCACCACTATCTTCACTTCTTCATCAGGTGAATCTTCATCTTCGAAGAGGTGCTTTGAGGAGACCAAACAGGCAAAAGTCCAATGGAGCAATATCAGGACTATAGAGAGGATGCTTTAACACCTCAAAATGAAGTTTTTGCAGAGTATCAACAGTGTAGGTAGAGGTGTTTAGACATGTATTGTCATGCAAGGTCACAATGCACTTGGATAGCAGTTCTCTGCATTTAATCTGAAGTTTAGGCTTTACTTCTTCAGTGAGCATCTCACTGTAATGAGCACTGTTGATTGTTGAACCTTTTTCCTGATAATGTTCCAATACTGGCCCTTGAGTATCCCAGAAAACTGTAAGCATCAATTTTCCAGCTTATGGTTGCCTTTTGAACTTTTTCTTTGTCGGCGATTGAGAATGTTTCCATTCCATATTCTTCTGTTTACTCTCAGGATCCTAGTGAGGAATCCATGTCTCATCATGAATAATGATTTTGTTAAGAAATTTTTGCCTTCCTTCAAGTATCGGTCCAAATTCTGTTTTCAAATATCTAAGAGCATCTGCTTATACTCTTCCATGAGTTGTTTTTTTATCTATTTCACACAAATTATTCAAAAACCAAGTCTGTTGTGCATTGTGTCCGAGACAAAGCCATGGCTGATTTGCAAATGACTTGCCACATAATCCACTGTCATTCTTCTATTCGACAGAATCGTTTCATGTATACACTCAATATTGTCATCTGCCATGGATGTTGATGGGCATTTTAATATAACTGGAGTGCAAATCATTTTTGCCTCACTTTTGTGTGTGTGTGTGTGTGTGTGTGTGTGTGTTTAACTATTGTATTAAGCTGTATTTAATGAGTTTTATGAGAAACATTTAGGCTTTTAAGCATTGTTGAATATAGTATATGAAAAATCCAAAGAAATTCATTTCTACCTCTTCTTTCTTTGGGCATTCATTTGTTAACTCACTGAATAAATATTTACTGAGGCCAAGAGGTGAATTATGTGTTATAAATCCAGGGACTTAATCCCTGAAGTTCTGGAGCTTTTAGATAAGAGAGAAGCATTACAGTGAAACAGGTCATTCCAGTGACATATGATAAGAGCATTAAGTGGGAAATAAGAGATATGGGAGCCTCTAGAGGAGACCTACATTTCTCCAAGGCCTGTATGTCCTCCTGAAGGAAATTGCATTTAGACGGAAACCTGAAAGATAAGTTATACCACAAAAATAATTTGAAGGGCATTGCAAGAACAGGGAGAAGCATTGTAAAAGGTGAGGTCGGAAATGAAAAGCATTTCAAACTGACAGAAGCATATGGTGCAAGAGCAATAGTAAAGATCGCTAAAGATTTAGAGTAATAGACAGATCTTGAAAGATCTTGAAGGCATATAAAAAGTTTGGAACTATTGACAAGTTTTTTAGCAGACAATCTAAGAGATATTTCTAAAGATCTCTCTCTGCTCTGTGGAAAAAGGAACTGAGTTTAGGACTATTTAAGACCGTATGTATGAAATGTTAAAAATATTAGTAAATCAAATGAGAGTTGGCAGTGGCTTGGACTACTAGAGAAAAATCAGTGGAGATGGAGAACATGGGCAGACTTGAGATTTGCTTTCAAGTTATAATAGATGATATTTGTTGATTGACTAGTTGTAGGAAATGCAGGCATTTTCCTTATTCTTAAGGACAATCTGTAGGTTTCTGATGTGGGTAACTGAATGAATTTTGATACCATTCATGGAGACAGGAGATATTGGAAGGGAACAAATTAGGGGAAATCTAATGAGTTCCTGTTAGGAACAGTTACACCTGAAATGTGCACAATAGTGTTGGGTGCACATGTCTAGAGTTCAGGAGAGAGATGTAAGTAGAAGACCTTGATTTAGGAGACATAAGTACAGGTATCATTATTAAAACCATATATGTGAAAATATCAATAGGGGAAACAGTTTATAGTCAAAAGAAAAGAAGACCTAAATCAGAGCTTCTAGGAACAAGTCAAGGATGAGGAGGTTACCATGGAGACTCAAGAGTTGCCAGAGAATGAGAAGAAAATCTGGATGTGATGTAATGGAAGTTAACAAGAGTCACTGTTTTGAAGAGGCCATAGTGATACATAGTGTCAAATGCATCCTAGAAATCAAGCAAATGAAGAAAGAGTGTCCATGAGAATTAGCAACATGCATGTCATTAGAAATTTTAGCAAAATATTGTCATTGTTATTATCAAGTCAGTCCTGACTCTTACATACACAACAGAACAAAGCACTGCTGATCCTGCACCATTCTCATGATTGGCAGCAGACTGAAGTCCACTGCTGCCTTCTAACCTAGGAGACTCATCCTCCAGCACTATGTTCTTATCAATAAGGTCCTTACTGGATAAATTGGAAGTAGATCCCAGGCCTTTCTTTCCAATCTGTTTCAGTCTGGAAATTCTGCTGAAACCTGTCCACCATAGGTAACCCTGCTGATGTTTGAAATACTAGTGGCATAGCTTCCAGCATCACAGCAACACACAAGTCACCACAGTATAGCAAACTGACTGAGGAATTTGTTGTTGTTAAGTGCTGTCGAATTGATTCCGACTCACAGCAACCCTGTGTAGTTTCCAAGGAGTGGCTGGAGGATTTGAACCACTGACCTTTGTGGTTGAGTGCTTATCCTTTAGTGCCACACCAGGACTGATGGGAATAGAGAAGTAATACTAGTACAGTGGAATTGATAGATACCACAGTGCATCCTGGCAAACACTAAAATGTCAGATGAGAAAGTAAATTCAGTAAATATTCATTGATAACAATTTGTCATAATTTGACTGTGGAGGAACAATGTAGGTTGAGTATTTTTGTTTTGTTTTATAATGTAAGGGATTTAAGCATTAATATGTTGATGATTAGGTTAAAATATGTTTATTGGCAATGAATTCCAGGGGTAAATTCCTCTATTGCTTCCTACCAAGGCACACTAAACCTGTGTGGTTAAAGACAAAGCATATTGTTTAACTACATTTTATTATCTTCTCTAAATGAAGCATTTTTTATTTTCTTTTAGTTAGCAAGAACCTGGGGATGAATTATGTGGAACAGGCTATAACGGAAACCATAAGAAGTAACTTCCAAGAAACCTGGATATGGAACCTTGTCAGAGTCAAGTGAGACTTTAGCACACTTCTGTCTCCTCTGTCTTAATTTATACTTTCCTTTTGTTTTTATTTCCTAACTTTTATTCCTGGGTAAATAAAACTCCACAAACCAAAACTACTGTCCTCATGTCTATTGTGATTCATAGTAACCCTACAAAGAGTTTCATAAACTATACGTCTTTGTTAGAGCAGCCTCCTCTTTCTCCTGTGGAGCAGCTGGTGGATTTGAACCACTGATCTTTTGGTTAGCAAGCCAATGCCTAACTCACAGTACCAGCAGGGCACTTTGGACAAATAAAACAGTGCCATAGTTGTAAAATAGATAATGTTGTAGAGCACAAGCTACAGAATCTACTTCAAGTAAAGGCAAAGAGTTTTACTAAATTATTTCAAAATACCAATTCATGAATTGAGACAACATAGGGATGAGGATACCCTTAACATAGTGTTCCACTGTCTCTATAGGCAGTTTTTTTATACACAGAGAAGTAAAGGAAAGATAGGGGGTTCGTGGCTGAGTATAGACAAAATCAGCTTCAGTTTGAAATTCTTTGAGTTGTACAAATCATCATCTCATTAAGGACCAGTGAGCCAGTCAGTTAGGTTATTCTTGGTGATGGAATTGTAGTCAGTTACGGTAAGCTTGAACCACAAAGTTAGCAGCTCAAACTCACAAGTCGCTCCTCAGAAACCCTATAATGAGGCACTGTGAGTTGAAACGACTCAATGGCACTTAACAACAACAACATAGGGTTGCTATGAGTCAGAGTCTACTCAAAGGCAGTGAATTTGGAGGGAATTTTTGCATTCATGATTGTAGATGGTTCTAAAAGAAACTGTTCACATATTATTCTCAAATGTTTTACATCCTGACCACTTTGGTAAGTTACGAACTTTTCTTTGCTGTGGACAGGGGGATACCAACAGTTGCCACGTAGATTTTTGTTGTTGTTGATTACTCTCAAGTCAGTTCCAACCCATAGTGGTGTCTGAGGCTGTAAATCTTTGTGGAAACAGAAAGCCTCATGTTTCTTACACAGAGAACTGCTAACTTTGTAGTTCAAAGTTCATCTTATCCTTGATGATGGTCACTCACAAACCTTTAAAATCCCAATCACTACTCACCGAAGTAGAATGTAGAACATTGTCTTTGTAGACTATAAACTATAACTCATTTTTAAGCTACAATTAATATTTGTTGTCCTTATTCTTCTTTGCTCTGAAATAACTATAGTGTGCAAAAAGAATGCATCTTATCAATACCAATCATCTTTCCTTGTAGTTCTTCAGGTTCAGCAAATCTTTCATTCCTCATTCCTGATACTATAACCAAATGGGAGACAGATGGCTTCTGTGTGAATGGTGATGTTGGATTTGGCATTTCATCCGCAGTTACTCTGGAAGTCTTTCAGAATTTCTTTATTGAAACTACTTTACCCTTTTCAATGGTTCAAAATGAACAATCTGACTTGATAGTCACTGCCTTCAACTATCTGAATACATGTGCAGAGGTAAGATGTTCTCTTTCATCTGGGGACAAAATCTAACAAGGTCAAATTATTGCTTAATATTTCTTTGCATAGTGCTATGTTCTCTTATATTCCAAATGCAAATGGGACTATAAAGCAATAAGACATGTTTCTATATTCCCCAAACAAAAACAATTGCTTTAATTCTCAACAATTATTTACATACTGCTTTGATTCAGAAAACAAAGTCCAAATGGTCAACATATTCACTTTTAGGAGTCCAAACAGAGGTACCTCAGAAAAAAGATCTGGTGAACTACTTCCAAAAAAATCCATATTTGAAACCCCTATGCAGCACAGTTCTTCTCTGACACACAAGGAGACATTTTGACGTGAAACCAACTCTTCCATGGCAACCCTTTTTCTTTCTTTCTTCTTCCTTTCTTTTGAATGACATTTAATAATGATGTGTATTTTCCATATGTATCTTCTTGTGTGAAGAATCTTTCAGTATCCTTTAATTTTTCCAAATTAAAATAAAATAGATAACGTTGCTTTTACTCAAGAGGCGAGAAATCAGAGCAGCAAAGTGCTATGTGCATTGTCATGATTGTTCTTTCAGATTTCTGTTTGGCTAGAAGTGTCTGAATATTATGAGGCAAGTAGTAACACCCTGCCAAGCAATGGTAAGGACATTATCCAAGATGGAGAGAGGAAAACGTATATTTGGACTATTAAACCTAAGAAACTGGGTAAGCAGCTGCATGTTTACTTCAGTATCTCAAGGGAAACTAGCACTTTTTTATTACCTCTGTTTTCCCTGTATCCTCTATTCAAACTTTATTTTCACCTTAACATTTTTAACTCTATTTTTTTTTGTTATTCTCCATTTTAAAAATCTTGTTTTTATAACATTATTCCCTGATGCTAATGGTCAGCAGTTCAACTTCATCAGCCGTTCCTAGGAAACTCTATACAGGGTCGTTATATGTCAGAAATGACTCGATGGCACTTAACAGTAAAAACAACAATGCTTCCATAATGCAAAACTACCATTTATTTGTATAAAAGCTTGGTGTATTTCTAACACAATATGTCATAGCCCTAATCAGTTCTTAAGGTTTCATTTTCATTAATGTTGGGTTTGTGGGCCATTATTTAATGTCTACACTTGTCACTTGCTCCTTCATATTCCTTCATGGACCCATGTCATTCATACAAAAATCATTCCCCATTATGATCACTTATGAAAGTTTCGAGCATTTCCAAATTTGCTAAATATATCAGAGGCACCAAAAAATACTGAATGAGATTAAACACCAATAAAACTATTATCTCAATGCATATTATTTGCAATACAGAAAAATAAATTTGAAAGTATTTTGTTGAGAGTACAGGTAAAAGGAAAAGTTAGCTCTTTAGTGAAAAAAAAGATATTAAATGATATAGATGCACAGTACTTAGTAGCACACATTTTAAAAATATGTCATTAAAATTTCTGTTTTATTCTTACCTTCATTGTATTATTTTAGCAAGAAAACAGTGTATTAATGAGATCACTTTTACTCATCTGTGGCGTTGGGCTGCCTCACTCTGTTTTTCCGTTAAATTATTTTTTGTTGTAAAAATATACATAAAAGTTTTGCAAATTAATCCTTCATTCACATGTACAATTCAGTGTCTCCAATCACATCAGTCATGTTGTACAACCATCACCAATATCCCTTGCTAAATTTTCCCATCACCATAAGCAGATATTTCCCTTTCCCTCTCCCTCTCCTCCAGCCCCTTGTAATCACTATTAAAATTTGGTTTCTATACATTTGCCTATGTTGTTGTTGTGTGCCATCAAGATGGTTCTGACTTATAGCGACCAATTGCAGAAACCCTGCCCCATAATGCACCATCCTCATAACTGCTGGCTTTGAGCCCATTGCTGTAGCCACTGTATCAAGCCAGCCCATTGGGAGTCTTCCTCTTTTTGCTGATTCTTTACTTTACCCTGTGGGTTAATGCACTGGACTGCAAAGTTGGTTTGGACCACAAGGTCAGCGATTCAAGCTCACCAGCCACTCCTTAGAAACCCTATACAGGGTTGCTATGGGTCAGAACTTGACATAACAGCATTTAACAACATCAACAACTTTACTAAGCATGATATTCTTTCCCAAAGACTGGTCCCTCCTGATAACAAGTCCAAAGTACTTGAGATGAAGTTTCAATAATCCTGCATTCTGGTTGTACTTCTTTCAGGGCAGATTTGTTTATTCTTTTA